TACATCTTTGTAAATGGACTTACATCTGTGGGAATTATAATTGATCAGTTACATAATGTCTCTAAAAAATAAAGTGTTGCTACCATGTACAAGATTACTGAGATGCATTGAGACTGATGAACAGAGGAATCACTGTGTACCTTTGATTGATTGATTAGTCCCTAGTTATACGTGCCCAGTCCATAAGTCGCCAAATAATACTCTGTTTTGAACTTCATCCACTTCCCCATATCTGGGAAAGGGTGGACCTTCCTGGAAAGTCCACACACCATCCCAGATATTCATTTGACTTAAAGTAAACCTAAGTTAAACTGGGTTAAACTGGATTCGATAGAGGCAGCATTTGGACACTTCAAGCTAATTTGGAAGCAAATTTTAATTTTAGGTCTGTGTAGATGGGCCATTGGAAGACACCAGATTCTAGTCAGTCCTGATTGATAATAAATACTGGGGCCTCACTCAAACATAATGCAAACACAGGGTAAATATCTACATGCGGATCTACACTAGCCTGAGCAATGGACCTTCCTTTCAATATATCTGTAAAGCCTTTGAAACCAGTCTACTCAACCATTCTGAATTTTTCAGCAAGAAGACAGGATTAAACAAGTGTCTGGCTTCCTCCTCGTAGCCAGATGCACAATGATTACAAAAGTGCTGAGACTTCTGGAGGAAACCCCGTAGAAACCAGCACTGATGTCATCATTGTGCATTGTGACATCAGCTCTGAGCTGCACAATGATGACATCAGAGCTGAGATCCAGAGTCAAACCATTTTTCTCTTCTTGTCTTCTTGCCACAAAGTAATGACTATATGGATTAGTAAGCCATAAAATCCAGAATATCAAGGCAGATAATTCACAATATCTGCTTTGAACTGGGTTATCTAATTCCACACTGCCACATAATCCAGTTCAATGTGGATTTTATACAGCTGCGTGGAAGGGTACTAAATAGCTCTAGGAAACTCCTCTGAGCTAGAGCAGAGAATCTGAAAGTTGTGCAGATACATCCAAATATTTGCCAACAATATGCTGCTTTACCCATTTCTCTTATTTTTCCTTACCCATGTTGTTTTTCGTTTTCCTTGCGAGGCACTGACTTTACTAGCCACCAGGTGGAATGCTTTGAAAAGTAAATGAAAAGAGTGGCTGAATCACAGCCTGCATCTCTTTCTCTATCTCAGTCTTAGTTTGCTGTTATTAAATCCACAGTGCCTCATTTGTTTGCCCTGGCTAATCATGCTGAGAAATATTTTCACAACCTAGTGTAATGAGAGTTGCTATGGCTGCCTCCGTATCTCTTCCTATTGAAGCACAGAGAGAGACACAGACTTAATAGATTCTGCAACTTGGCAAGACTATGAAGCCAATTTATGTTCAACCATCTCTTGCCTTGATATTGATGCCGAGCATCTTTCCCCCCCTCCCAAGTATTTGTAGTTCGCCAAGGGCCGGACAATGGATTCTGCTGCTTCCTGACCCAGCGCACATAACTGGGTTCCTGTCTCCTCTTTGTGAACTCTCTGACTTATGCACTGGACTATGGACTCTGCTACTACCCAACCCAGCGCCCATCACTGGGCTCCTGCCTTTTTCTTATTGACTCTCTGCTTCATGAACTGAACTGTTTGCCACATCCCTGGCTTAGGAACTTCCTTCTGGTGCTTGCCTTGAAATGCAAGCAGCCTCAGTTTCCACGCACCTTTGCCAAAGGACTATGAGATCTCCAGTTTGCGTTATAATAAAGATCCAATATTGTAATGAACTGGGGTTGGGATGGATTGTGGGTTGGGATATTATGAAATGCCTGTGTATTAGTGATGCCTGTGTTTTATGGTTATGATATGTATGTAACCCTTATGAATTCCTCTATGCCATCACCCCCTTGACCTCTGCCCCACAAAAGCGGCGTGACCAGGAACTGCCTAAAGGGAAGAGCTCAAGCCTCTCCCTAAATCACCCTTGATTGATTCATCAGCATGGACAATACTACTGATCCCCAACCCTAGCCCTCGGAGCAAGGCCAGCGAAGGGAAGGGGGTCAGCAGAGACTAGGAAAGAAAAGATTGATTTAATCAAAAAGATATCGTTGACCCTCCGGGTGGTCCGATACCGAACCAGCCTTTCATACTGCTTCCCAGACCCATCAAGGACAGGAAAGCCTCTTTGTTTAAAGGGATCACCCTTTTCCCGCCTAAAACAAAGCCCGCATTCCAGCGGGCAGGAAATCCCAATCCCATCATCTTTCCCCTTTGTCTGCGGCCGTTCCGCCTCCTCACTCCTGATTGGTCTAAACTCAGAAGCGAGCGGAGGGCGCCCATTGGCCCTCCCGAGGCGCAGGAGCGTTCTGATTGGCTGAAAGCTGAGGCGGGCCGCCAAGCCTCCTCCCAGCTGTTCCAGCCTCAACCAATCAGCGTCAAGCCGGCCGGCAAGGGGCGGCGGGAGTTTCAAACTGCTTTCTTTTGTCCTGTACTGTATAAAAATGCCTGAAATCTTTGTATCTGTATGCTTGCAGTGGAATGATTCCTGTAATGCATCTGATCTCAGCTGAATCACAATAAACCTCGGTTGCTGAAAAGAAACTTCTTCCACTTGGATGAGGCATTATTATTTATAATATTTTTACTTTTTGGATTGGCTCTCGCTGGCCTCACCAAGGGACCCAGAGCCCTTTAGGCACGGTCCTCGGGTTTCTCTCTCTCAAGGAGACCCTGCTAAAAGCAGCTCGATATCAATATCATTCTCTTGCTAGACTGCTTTTTTCTGCACCATTAACAGGCTTAGCAAATGCTGAGAGGAAAATAAATCCATACAAATGCTAAGGAATCCCCTGCCATTCCCCACCAATTATGTTGTTGAAAAGGCTTCTCAGAAATGATGACACCAAGAGAGTCATATAGGACCTCACCAGATGGACTGATTTGCTTGTTGTACTCTTCTTGCTCTCTGCTTTTGACACAGAGCCCGTTGTATGACACACAGGAACTTCTGGTCAGGTTTCATGCTGAAAGAGGAGATCAGTAGGCTTCTCGTGTTGCCTTAGGAGGAATGAGGGGAAGGCAGGCAGTGACGCTTCCCCCCATTCGATGGGGGTCAAGGTAAAGTGGGTGATGAAGGGCATGGTGTGACAGGTCCTCCACTCCCCCCGCCAGGACCCCATGGACTCACTATGATGTGTGGTGAATCCATTGGCTTTTGTGATGAGGTCCCTAGTCTACATGATTTTGAGCTGGCGTTTTCAACTCAACAAAAAGACAATTCTCCACAATAACAGTAACATTTGACACTGAAGGAAAACTTGTGAAAATTGAGAGGAAATGATCAGTTAGTGTCCAGCTATTTTCCTTTTTTTGTTTTGTTCAATAATCTTTATTGTAAATTTTCTTTGACAATGAAAGAGGGGGAACAATCAGAATGATAGAAAAGTAGGAAATTAAGAGATTGAGAGATTAGGAGGTGACGGGAATTGTGGGAAACGGGAGGGGTATGGGCGAGGAGTGCAGGGGAAGGCAGTGCAGTCCACACATCAGTGCTAAGAAGAAAGAAAGAAAAAAAGAAAAAAGGGGTGAAAGGGTTACACGCACATCATTTTGACTTTCCGTTCAGTCCACAGAGGTAATGGCTTTGGGTTTACACATCTTCTTGTGGTCTGATCCTTTTTCAAGTTCAGTTCTGCTCCGAAATACCTGATTTTATATATTAAGTTTATTTTTCCCTTTTAGATATTCTTTTAATTGGTTCCAATTTATTTGCTTACCCTTACTCGGGTCTTTTAAGAGATATGAGAGTCTGTCCAAGTCCATAAATTCTACAGCCTTCTTAATCCAATCCTCATTAGAAGGTCTTTCTTTAACTTTCAATTTTTGTGCAATTAATATTCTTGCTGCTGCTGACAGATAAAAGAATTTTTTTCCCTCATTGTTCTTTAAATCAAGATTAGTTATATTCAACAAATAGTACTCTGGCTTCATTTCGAATTTTGTTTTAATTATATTTTGTATATGCATGTGAACCAGTGACCAGAACTTCTGGATCTCTTTACAGCTCCAAAATAGATGGAAATATGTTCCTGTTTCCTTCTTGCATTTCCAGCATAACTTGTTGTGTTTTCCGTTAAATTTGGAAAGCTGGACTGGTGTTAAATGCCATCAACAAAAAACTTTGTACCAGTTCTCTATTATGGTAGTGGCTCTTGTAAATCTTATTTTGTCCTTCCAAATCCGTTCCCATTCTTTAAGTAAAATGGAGCGACCTATATCTCTCGCCCATTGTGTCCAGCTATTTTTCTGAGTGGCTTTTGTTTGGCTGAAATCATGTTTAGTATCAGAACTCCACTGAGGCAAAAATTAGAGAGATTTTACGGAGGCAAGATGCTGTGGACAAAGCGAAGAGGAGAAGGTTGTGTATGCCTGAGCAAGCTAGGAATGACTAAATAGCCAATTTCTTGTATTAGGAAAAAGTTGTTTGCAGATGACTCCTTCTTTGGAAGCTTTTGAACAGAGGCTGGATGAGTTGTTGTAGGTTTTTCCGGGCTATATGGCCATGTTCTGAACATGGCCATATAGCCCGGAAAAACCTACAACAATCCATGGATTCCGGCCATGAAAGCCTTCGACAATACAGAGGCTGGATGGCCATCTGTCAGGGGTGATTTGAATGCAATATTCCTGCTTCTTGGCAGGGGGTTGGACTGGATGGCCCATGAGGTCTCTTCCAACTCTTTGATTCTATGATTCTATGACAGTTCCCAGAAACTTTCAGTCAGAATGGGTATGGGTTGTTTCCAAGTTCTGTTTATACTTCCTTTCTCTGACAACAAAAGTGTAGCTAGGTGTAACTTAACAAGGAAAACTTGATCTTTTAGCAATCTATTGTAGCTTATTTAGTTACTTCTATAGCTATGGAATGTGACCTCACAAAGTGGTGTTAGAGGAATATGACATGGTTCAGGTGTTGACTTGTGCTGCTGGCTTGTGCTCTGTTGTTGGTGTTACGGAGATGACAAGTTGGATTGGGTGAGTTTGCTTTGTAGTTTTTTTTTTTGTCATGTCAGGAGCTCAAGTCGCTTCTGTTGTGAGAGAATTGGCCGTCTGCAAGGATGTTGCCCAGGGGACGCCCAGATGATTTGATGTTTTATCATCCTTGTGGGAGGCTTCTCTCATGTCCCCGCATGAGGAGCTGGAGCTGATAGAGGGAGTTCATCCGCCTCTCCCCAGATTCGAACCTGCAACCTGTCGGTCTTCAGTCCTGCCGGCACAGGGGTTTAACCCACTGCGCCACTGGGGGCTCCGTAGTATGAGCCAGTGATTGGAATAGTGGAGGCTTTTAAAAATAACCAAAAAGTGGACTTGTTCAGGCATTTTTATTGCAGTCCTATGCCACCTTTCTACCAGAACAGAAACCAAGCTGCCTTCCAAAGCAGTTAAAAATATTCATGCTAAAATGTAAATAAAATAAAATAAACACATAAAAACATTAAAACATACATAAATCTTCATAAATCTCATTATCACAACTAAGAATGCATAATTAATATATTTCTGCTCAATTAGAAAAGTAACTCCAGGAATTCAATGGGCTACCTGAATATTTCCTCTAGTCATCAAAATATTGGGTATTTGTGGATATATGTGTGTGTGTGTGTGTGTGTGTGTGTGTGCCACTTTTCCACACTGAATTCAATGTAATGCAGCTCTCCCATTCAAGCTCTGAATGAGAGTAAACCAAGAAATTTTCACTATGATTTTAGAGTTAATTTCTAAGCTATGATTTTTGAACTTGTATCAGTGAAATAAACCTACAGCTGCTAATTCTATGTAACTGGGTTGTGTATTTATATTGTAGAAGTGAATAGCAAGATGGAGCCAATCCTACTCCAAAAACTGGTTAGAATGGCATTTGAATTAAGTATATATGAAGCAACATATGACAGGTCACAATGGTTCAGGTCAGGTCACATTGTGTACACAGCTTCATTTTCCAAAAAGAACAAAGCTAGAATGATGTTTAGATCTGCCCAGCATAGTTGCTGCCTCTATTATATTTTGTCAGAGGCGGTTGTATCACCCTGACCGATGATACGGCTGGCCCTGTTGCTGAATAGGTTGCTTTTATCATGCCTCCATAGCACAGCCCTGTATTATTTATGCGAGTGGATGCAATTTTATGTGAGCAATCATCAGCCTGTTTTGACATATCTGTAGAGCACCTTCCTACTCATGCTTTTCAGTACTAGAATGATGACAGTGAAGTGTAGGCAGTTACAAATGGTTCTATTAAGCTTTGGTGACTTGCAAAACATTGTTTTCTCCCACCACATACAATCAATACATCTCAAAGTTTCCCTGTCTCTGCAGATCTTTTGAAGAGAAGGTTTTTAAAAAGATGCTGTGAATTCAAACCACAAACCATTGTACCATGTTCTAAAATAAGATATTTAAAAATACTACTGACTTACTTTCATGCAGTGCAGGGGAAAACCCATGAATTAGAAATCATCTCTTTAGGAATATCTGACCCTCCAGCAGCTCTATGGCCACCTCCACCATAAACTGACCACATAATTATGCTGTAGGACCTAGAGATTCCCACAGAAAACATATTAATCAAATCCATGAATAGTCAAATCCATAAGGGCCCATCCCTTGTTGAAGAAGCCCAACCTGGACCCTATGACCCTTGCCAACTACCGTCCCGTCTCTAATCTTCCATTCTTAGGTAAGATGATAGAGCAGGCTGTATTGGGACAATTACAGCAATTTTTGGATGACACAGCCGGCCTGGACCCTTTCCAGTCAGGTTTTCGCCTGGGCTATGGGACGGAGACAGTCCTGGCTGCTATTACAGATAAACTTCGCAATCAGTCTGATAGCGGCGGATCGGCGCTTCTGGTACTTCTCGATCTTACCGCAGCATTTGACACCGTTGACTACGATTTAATGATCCACTGTCTCGCCATGTCCGGAGTTCGCGGTCAGGCCCTCAATTGGTTCAATTAATTCCTCCGAGTCAGTGCGTGGAATATATGGACCAAGTCTCCGAAAGTTCCCCCCTCCTATGCGGGGTACCCCAAGATGCAATTCTCTCCCCTCTTCTTTTCAACATCTGCATTAGACCCCTTGCCAGTTTGGCTCGGAGATTCGGCCTGGACTGCTATCAATATGCGGACGACACCCAACTCCTGTTGCGCTTGGAGCCTGGAGTAAAGTCAATCCCTGACAATTTCACCTTATGCCTGGAGGCTTTGTCGAACTGACTACGTGCTAGCAGACTGAAGGTGAATCCGGCGAAGAGTGAGATCCTGTGGCATGGCCGCCCGATAGGTCCGACCCATCCGTTACCTACCTTTGATGGCGCTGCTCTATCTCCATCGCCTACCATTAAGAGCCTAGGTGTTGTTTTGGATTCGCAGCTGACGATAGAGGCTCAGGTCGCTGCTGCCAGCAAACAGGCCTTTTTCCATCTACAACAAGCGAGGCAACTGGCACCTTACCTGTCGGATGAGGCTCTGGCCACAGTCATCCATGCCACGGTCACATCTAGGCTAGAGTATTGGAATGCCTTGTATGCTGGCCTTCCTATTTCTACGACCCGAAAGCTCCGTATTGTCCAGAATGCTGCAGCCATATACTCACAAAAACGCCCATGAAATGCCATATAACACCAGTGCTGCGGCATCTACACTGGCTCCCAATTGAGTATCGTGGTTTGTATAAGATGCTGGTCCTGACCTTTAAATCTTTATATGGCCAGGGTCCATTGTATCTTAGAGACCGTCTCTCCTTCTACCATCATCGGAGGTCGCCACGACCGTCCCAATGCGATTTGCTCTATATACCGGGTCCTAGGGAAGTGCACTTGGAGAGCACCAAACGCAGGGCCTTCTCTATTTCTGCCCCTATCTTATGGAATTCCTTGCCTCCCTATTTGAGAGCCATGCGTGACTCAGGGCATTTTATCCTAGCACTTAAGACCTGGCTTTTTATTAGAGCATTTGACCCATGTTAATTTTAATATTTGTATGTATGTGTTTTATCCTGTATCATTTCTGCAATGTAAATCGCCTGGAGCATCTCGGATGGAGGGCGATTAATAAGTAATTAAAGATGATGATGATGATGATGATGATGATGATGAAAGTTAAATCATAAATGTTAAGGGCGGACTATAAAAATGTGAATTATACTTGGGGGAAGAACCCTATGAACTGCTTGAACTGGATTATCTGCTTTAAACTGGATTATATGGCAGTGTAGACTCATATAATTCAGTTCAAAGAAGATAATGTAGATTATCTGCTTTGATAATCTGGATTATATGGCAGTCTGCCTTATTTAAAGCAGGAACTCCATAGACAACCTCAATGATCCTTGACCCTATGAGAATGTACTCCATGCCTGCTTGGTACTTAGATTCTAATTTCTGTTATTTTAAACTGAAGCAATGCATACCTCCTAGGGGATAAACCTGGTGGTCGTGATTTGTTTATCAACTAATTTGATATTCAAATTAGTAGATAAATGTCAAAGTTCAGCAAGGAACCAGGCTGTATATGCAAACAAATGTGTCCTGTGGTGCTCACTGGGAACACATTTCTTGATAGGTTGCACAATTGACATATGAAGCTCCAACAAAATCAGAGATCACAATATCCAAACCTTCATGTACAGCAGAAATTCTTCTGTTGGTTGCAAATATAAAACTGAATTAACTTTCTCTACATGTTATAGTCTTACATATCCTTGGGAGTAAGAAGAATTGAAATCTTTTATTCAATATATATAGTACTAGCTGTACCCGCCACGCATTGCTGTGGCAAACCTTCCCTCCCTCTTTCTCCTCCTTCTTTTTCTCTCTCCTTCTTTCCCTCCCTCTTTCCTTCTTTCCCTCTTTTTCTTTCTCTTCTTCTTTCTTCCTTCTCTACCTGTTTCTTTTCTCGCTTCCTTTGCTCCAACCTTCTCTCCCTCTTTCTCTCTTTTCTTTCTCTCCTTCCTTCCTTTCCTTCCTTCCTTCCTTCCTTCCTTCCTTCCTTCCTTCCTTCCTTCCTTCCTTCTTCCCTCTCTTCTTTCTCTCCTTCTTTCCTTTCTCTCTCTTCTTTCTCTCCTTCCTTCCTTCCTTCCTACCTTCCTTCCTGACTCTCTTCTTTCTCTCCTTCCTTCCTTCCTCTCTTTCCTTCCTTCTCTATCTTCCTTTCTTTCTTTCCTTCTCTCCTTCTTTCCCTCCTCTCCCCTTCCTTCCTTCTCTACCCTGCTTTCTTTCTTTCTTTCCCTCCTTCTTTCCCTCTTTCTCTCCCTCCTTTCTTCTCTTTCTTTCTTTCTTTCTTTCTCTCCTTCCCTCCTTCTTTCCCTCTTTCTCTTCCTCCCGTTTCGTGTCGTTTTAGTTGCCCTCGGCGCCCCCCCCCCCCGCAGCTCCCATGCCCTCCCCGAGCATGAGTGCTTACATCGGTCTGGTGGGCTTTCTCAGGCTGGGCTCGTGTAGAGGGAGGCAGGCAGACGGCAGTGCGCATGCGGAGGGAGATTTGGGTGCGGGGGAAGCTGGGAAATTGAGTCCTTGCTCATTGTTTTCCTCCTGCGGCAGTGCGCACGCGGAGGGATATTTGGGCGTGGGGGAAGCTGGGAAATGGAGCCCTTCCTCATCATTTTCCTCCTGAGGCCTCTGCGCATGCTCTGTGTTTTTCAGGTATTGTGCATTTGTGTTGTTGTGTATTGGTGTTTTGAGGGTTGTTGGTCATACCTTGGGGGAAGAGGTATTAGCAGGGCAAATGTGGTGAGATTTCGTCCGGTGGTTTAGCCGTTTTTGACCACCTAATTACGACCTTAAGGTTCTTATATATATAGATGATCCCAATATCTTCATTCCCGGATTTCACGTGGATATGCAAAATCATGCATAATAACAAACGCATTGAAGTGAATAACGTTTGGTACAAGAATGTCATCATGCTATTTTCTGTTATGGGGGTTATACTCTCTCTCTCTCTCTCTCTCTCTCTCTCTCTATATATATATATATATAT